GCTGGGAACGAATTAGATTTAAATTTTTGCCCTTTGATTAGTCATAGGTATAAAGAAAGTTTGGATAGTATTAATTTATTTTAGAATGAGATTTGAAATGTTTGTACAATTAGAAATGGCTTTAGTTAAACATTGTATTAAAATCCAAATCTATCTCTTAACATTATTTGTTAAATATCTGTGAAACTTTTACGAGGATGTACTGAAAAATAAAAGAAACTTAAGTTACCATCTGGTGCTTGTGAATGACAAATATTAATCCCTGGGTAAAATAAACAAACCAGGGCAAAACACCGAACAACAGACACTTACAAATTGATTGAAATTAATCTGCTCGCGGATGGATGTTCTTATGGCCAACAAACTATTAGCATAAATGTGCCAAATTCTTAATTAACATCAGAGACGTCTCGGGCCCTTGCTACCCTTTAATGTTTAGCCTCAGATGAAGCTCAAAACAAGCCTGGAATACTTGGTAGGAACCTAGTAAAACTAAGCGAAGGCAGAAGACTATTCAAAGATTGTACTGGAATAAGGGGAGAGCAGGGGAATTACACCCAAGGGGCTAAATCTAAATCTAAATATGCTTATAACCGATAAAGATGCCCAAAGTAAGCTTATAAGATTAGGCTTACTGGACATTTGTTATTGAATTAGGTTCTGTTTCTTTTTTAACTTATTTATATATTTCTACAGAATCCAACTGCAAATTATTCGAGTGACTGAAACAAACTTACATTTGTTTCTGTTAAGAAGAAAAACGGGAAGGTTTGACTCACATAATCTATGTAATATACCAAGATAATCAACTTTTGAATACAGTTAAATTTAAATTAAAACAAATGTCATGTTTTTCAACATAACAGATAAGAGTAGGCCAAGGACCGATCCTTTGGGTACCCCTGAACTAGAATACATTTCGGTTGACTTTTTTTTTTGCATAGACTCTTTGTCATACAGCCAGTCACAAAATGGAAGAGGTAAATTTATTAACGGTTGACTTTATTTTATTTATTTCTTTATTTTTTATTTATTGATTTATTTATAATTACATCACCAAAACAGATTATGCCAATTACAGGGTGACGGGAAAATGTACAAAAAACAAAAATAAGTTAGAACATTAAAGTAAACATTTATACAAAAAAAACATCAAAATATGTAAGTTACAGACATACGCTTGAAAAAAAACACAATATGTGAAAAAAAACTTACACAAATTCGTAATCCTGGTCTAGGAACTCTAAGTGATATATAATTCATTAGCTTATTATGTAAAAGATTATATAAGAAGAGCAAATGATGTGATGTCCTGCGATATTTTAGTTCCGTTAAATTAAATCTTGATAGCTAATCGCTATGTGGAAAACCTCTAGGAGGATATTGACCATCCAAAATGTACGCGGCCGACTTCATGAACCGTCTCTGAATTTTCTCAAGGTTGTTAATATACATATTATACACAGGGTTCCAAACTACACTGGCATATTCCAATCTAGATCTAACAAAACAAAGGTACAAAAGTTTCTAAGCTATTGAACTCTTTGCCATTTCTTATAAAAAAACCAAGCATTTTGCTACAAGTCGATATAATTTCGTCTAAATGTTTGTTAAACGTTAATTCTGAGTCAACTATCACACCAAGATCATTAATACAATCAGTTCTATGAATTATGGTACCATCTAAACTGTAGTCGAATACTATTGGGCTTACTTTTCGGCTAAATGGCATAGTATTACACTTAGATGGATTCAAAGGCAAAGTAGTTGATTCACACCACTCGTTAACTCTTTCTAAAGAGTTCTCTGCAATCATCAATTGAAAGTATCTCTGCATATATTTTTAGATCATCAGCATATAGTATGTACTGAGAATTATATTAATGAAAATGTTAAAAAGAAGTGGTCCTAATATTGAACCTTGGGATACACCGGACTTTTGTAAAAAGAGAGCTGATTTGAAACCTTTGTATTGAACAAACTGGAATCTTCCATTTAGATATGACTGAAAGAGATCAATTAAATTTGGGGATAACCCATAAAAGATAAGTTTATTGACTAGTAAACAGTGGTTGAGCTTATCAAAGGCTTTACTAAAATCAGTGACTTTGTTGATCTAACTTTCCACTGATATACTAAGTAATACAAGTCAGGTTGGATACGGTAGATTTTTATTCATGAAGCCATGCTGGTACAGCGATATTAGGCGAGACATACAAATATTTTGGAAAAATTATTAATAATAGTAATCGGCCTATAGTTGCTAACATTACTTATATTTCCTTTTTTAAATATAGGCACGTGACAGTTTCCAGGAATTTGGGAACGCAGCTGACTTTATTATCACATTAAAAATAGCACATAGGGGAGATGCTAATGCATAAACACAATCTTTAATTAAAAAGGCCGGAATTAAATCAGGTCCCATTGTCATAGATTATCGTATATGATTTTGGGCTGATTTAGAATGGAAAATAAGGACCGAAACAACATTATTACTAGGTTGAAAGTTTAACCATAATATATTTTAGTAAGTCAACCTGTCCTTCTTTGATAAAAACTTTTAAGAGTAATTCATAATATTCATTTTAAAACCAAAAAAGTTTTTTTTTTATTTGTTTCTTTGACGCAACTGATGATATAATGAATTTTTAGAAACCAGTTTCATTAAGTTACACACTATGCAACTAATTGCGTAAAGTAGCTCATTTTGACACTTGCTGCGATTACAAAAAATGTCACTTTATATGTCAAAATTAGAAAAATAGAAATTATTGTCATTATAACTGATTTTATAGTGCTATTCAGGGGTTTTTGCATCTTAACTATATTTTAATGGTACAAATTTACGAATAAAAATTGGAGTTGCTTTTAGACTCTTCATATAATGCGGATATTGAGTATCTTATTCCTATTATTACGTTTAAAATCTTGGAAAGATCTAAGAAAATAATACAATAGACCCAGATCTACAAAGTGAATGGAAACGGCCCTGATTAATGAGGGCCAAAAGTAGGGGTAGTTAGGGGTTCGCTGGCATCGCATTTTCTTGGTGTATGGCTTTGAATATGCTAATATAATGGTCGGTTGGTCGAGAATATTGCGTAATAGTCTTAACACGATGAAAAGAGGTTAAGACTATTGCGTATGCAAAGGGTAAGAGACAATGGGAGCGGCGCTTAGGTCAAAGATGTGAATTTATTAAGGCTTTGTTTTCTAGTAGGATAAGTTGGAAGTTCCTTTGAGTTATTAGTCTTTAGAAGCTAAGTTGTCTGCGTTCCTTAATAGATAAGTTTTTATGATCTTATTCCGAGATTCCACTGAATAATATTAAATGTTTTAACCGACTACGGCGTCATAAGAAGACTAAATAAATTGGTTATTGTTAAAGAAATTAAATTTATTATTTTTTATTATGGTGTTATCAAATTTTACAAATACATTTATTATTTTGAAAAAAGTATTAATGATTATATTTTTTGAAAACAGCTCCGGGAAGATGACGTCCGTTCAGGGGTACACATTTTTCCAAGAAGGGGATGGTACTCACTAGATACAAACTCATTTCTGTCACTATACATATCATAGTTTACTACAAACTTTTTTTTATGATACTTTTTGGATTTCATACTGATCGCCAGTAGGAATAAAAAATTCTAAAAATTACTGAACTGAACTCAGTGGCGGCTCGTGATAATACGAGATGGAAGTGTCAGATTTTTAACAAAGGACCCCGCAATAATCTTATAGAAATTGGGTTTCTGTCAAATTGTCTGAATTTGATATGTTGTAGATTTTGTCATCCTGAACAAAAGTCTTCATGGGCACAAAGTGCCAAAATGAATATTTTGGCAGTTACGGAACTGCCAAAGCTCCCCTGACCCGTTGCAAAACTATTCATTTTTAATACTATTTACAGATGTCAAAAGCATATTTTAATTATTCTAGTATATAGAGTAATGTTTTTGAGGTCACTGGATTCAACCCTCATGTCAGATTTGACAAATTGACCGTTGACAGCTGTCAATTCACTGTCAACGAAGAATATAAAAGTAAATATCCTCTTTTCACATTGAGAGTTTGGGTTTTTGAGGTCGCTGAATTGACAGTTGACAGCTTTCAACTGTCAATCTGACATGAGAATTAAATTCAGCGACCTCAAAAACCCAAACTCTCAATGTGAAAAGAGGATATTTACTTTTATATTCCTCGTTGACCGTAAATTGACAGCTGTCAACTGTCAATTTGTCCAATCTGACATGAGGATTGAATCCAGTGACCTCAAAAACATTACCTTATATATTAGAATAATTAAAATATGCTTTTGACATCTGTAAATAGTATTGAAAATTAATAGTTTTGCAACGCCAGGGGAGCTTTGGCAGCTCCGTAGCTGCCAAAATATTCATTTTGGCACTTTGTGCACATGGAGACTTTTGTTCAGGATGACAAAATCTACAACATATCAAAAATTCAGACAATTTGACAGAAACCCAATTTCCATAAGATTATTGCGGGGTCCTTTGAAAACGTTGCCGGAGACGCCCTGTTGGAGGCGCCCCACCAGAGGCGAAAAATTTTTTGGGGTGCCACGCCCAAATTTTTATCCAAAATCGTTTAAAAAACTGACTTTGAGCAAAAATTTATCACGATATTGTCAAAATAGATACAAAATGTTAATTAAAAAAATTAATGAAGGACGGATACTTTTATATCTATTACATGACTACTATTTATGAGGTTTGCCACAAAACAGGCCGTCAGGGTTAGTCTTATCCTAAATTTTGCCAATAAATTACTCAAAACTTATCAAAGAACTCTGTAAAATTAATAAAAAATTATAAATTAACTTACCCCCTAGTAATTAATGCTAAAAGTCCTTGCAGTTTGTTATTACCATAAAGAGTCTTTAGGTCCATATACCAAAAATATCACAAAAATAAAACTATACCTATTTACAGTATTTACACACGCACACAAAGTTGCTTGATATACTAGTTTTAAAGTTTCCGATAAATTAAGTCCATTCTTCTTTCTTTTTTGGTTGCAAAGTTTTCAATTACTTTATTATTAAAATTTTCAATACCATTTACAAAATGTTTTTCTGCGGACAACATACCTAAAGCACTGTCTTTCTTCCTTTGTTGTATTTCTGAGGAATGTTTTAATCCGTTAAGGGATTGAAAAACAGCGCTCTGCTTCAGATGTTAACATAGGTATTGTTATTAAAATACCTAAAAGTTTAGGAGTTTCCTGAACTGTAAAATTTAAACCTTCCTCATTTAATAAAATTGACAGCGAGACAGCTCCGGAGGTGGTACTTAATTCGTCTCTCTGATACAGTACTTGTAATTTATTTTAAAGCATATTTTTGTCTAAAAATGAAAATTGTATACATGTTTCATTGAGGAATGATTCGGGAAACTGATGCCTATAGACCGAAAACTTCTCCGACATAAATAAATTAAAAGCTACCAAATGCCCAGAGAAGTTAAACCTTGTTTTTATTTGCAATAAAACGGCTTCGCATATTTCTAAAGCTTCGCGTTTTCTGCTGTTCTCTTCAATTCGTGCCTTTTTTCTTATTGGTTCACCAGTTTCTCCTTGCGACGTGTTTATTTCTTCTTGAATATTGTCAATAATGCTGTCCATTTGCTCCCGTATACCTTGAATTGCTGCTTTCTTGACCTTAACAGAATCTGTGCATACTTTTTGTAATTGGTTAAAAATAATTTCCACATGAGGCATTATTTGATGAAAAATACTTAACCATAATATAAAATTATTATCCTGAAGTTTTAATTTGTACCCACTTGCTTGATTAATAGACGACGAATCGCGTGAAGTACTTTCTATAATGTCCACAATCCGCAACTGTAATGAGGTCTTTTCTATTCTCATAAACAGTATGAACACCTTGCGATTAAAAATTCCAACGTGTTTATCAAGATCTTGGCAACCTGCGATTAACTACCTCATCCAAAATTTTTGTTCTTTGAGGAGACGTGGAAAAAAAAGAGCACAAACCAGATAAGTTAGAAAAAAATATTCTAGCCTGCTTATTGACAGAACATGCACTTGTGATAATTAAATTCATCTGGTGTGCGTAGCAATGAACGTAATTTGCAAGAGGATATGTTTGTTTAATAATTTTTTGCACACTATTTAATCCACCACTCATTACAGACGCGCCGTCATAGCTTTGAGCAATTAATTTATTTGGACTGTGTTTTAATAATGTATGTAAAACGTTTAAAATGCATTCAGCGATTGATTTGGCGTCGTGTCCATCGAGCATGTAAAACCTCCAAAATCTCTCAACTGGTCGTCCTTTACACAAATATCTGAAAACTATAACCAATGGAAATTCACAAGCAACGTCTGTCGTTTCATCGGCAATCACTGCAACAAAAGGAGAATTTTCTATTTCTTTTCTAACTTCTTCGTGATAAACATCTAACATGCACTCAAAAAGTTTATGTTGGGTTGTTCCTCCAAAAACAAAAAAAAATACTTGTTATAACCAGCCTATATGACAGATTCATTTGACATTTGTTGCTAACTTACTTGACAAATCCTCTCAACAATTCGGTAACTTACACAGTTCTTTAACAGCATTAGCATACGACGCGGAATGAACCTTCTCTATTTGTCAACTTCTTGCTACGTTTTGGGCATTCAAAACTTACTAGACCCGTATCAAAACTACATTGCGGAACACAATACATGGTGAGATACTTGTTAATCTTTATCCAGTAACACTGACAAAACATTTATCTGAATACTAATTTCGGTGCACATTACTAAAGCTGTCCGGCACAAAAACAACATAATGTTGTTGGCATTATCTTTTGAACTTAATTGTCTGCATGTCTGCCAAGCTTATTTCACGAGGGAAGCAATAATTCCTTCTTAATATTACGCTGTCCTGGTATAATGATGCTTTAAACTTAAAACAAATCTTTGATTAATCACAGTTTTCTTTTAAAAAGACGATGTTCATCTGAGATGTTTCTCTGACATATTAAACAAATATTTTTTCTCGATTGTTTATACAATGTGTAATATAATAAAACAAAAATAATGTTTAAATGTCTAAGTAACATTTCGATGTCACTTAAATGGAACATTTTTCGATTTTATCTGAAAAGAATACGACTCAAAAAGTAATAACAAACTTTGTCTAAGAGAGTTTCCACAACGAGCACTATATCTTTATAATAGTTTCTTGAGATTGACATTTGTATGGGCCAGAAAATATGAGACGTTAAGTAATTATGTGGATTTTCTATGTCTTGTAGGCTCTTTTCTTGATCGATACATAAGTTAGAAACAACAAGTAGGATGATGAATACTGTTATATTTGTCGTCTTCTGTGGCTTAATGCAGAGGAGAGTTGATTTTGAAAAGATTTTACATAATGATCATTTTGTTGGCATATTATATTTAAGCCAAAACTGTTAGAATATTATACACCACCTTCAAAGTTATTGAAAATGATTATAAAGGGTGGCCAGACGAAAACAGTGGCCTTCAATTGTCACACGTCATTCCCCTTCCTTCCGTCTCTTTAATCAATACAATTTAAATTGAGAAAGTACCAAGTATAACCCGTGACTGAAAAAGATAATTTTGTCGAAAATTTAGCAGTATGACCATTTATTAGGTTTCTTTTGATTTTAGCGCCCTCTAACAGGATAAAAACTATGTGTGTGACACTTTATTTGGAAGCAAATTTTACTAGTAATTTAATACGTAGCAAACATTTATTATTTAGGTTAATTGCGATTCAAGATTGTATTTCTTAACGAAAGAGCTATTATTTAGGTACATTTTTCATTCAATTATGTTTTGTTATGTTGTGCATTAAATTATTAATCAAAATAGTTTTCAACTGAAGTGTCAGACTTTACAGTACCTATGTCACAGTTTTTTGTTCCGCAAGAGGGCGCTAAAACCAAAAGTAACGCAATGCACATTCATATTGCTGAATTCTCTATAAGGGGCAAATCACTGAGCTAAATTTTGTACACCTTATCCTTTCGGTAGAAATAAATCCCTATAAATCCTCATATATCCTTGAAAATCCTCATACTACAAATTCATTTAGATATAATAAATATTTAAAATAAATATAATATATAAAAAAAATATTTGAATTTAGGGAATACAGAATACTATTTACCAAACCTTATTTTCATAATATGTTTATCAAGGTGAATAATAATAAAAATAAATGTCTTTATTAACCAGTAAAAAGTTTACAAAAAAAATAAATAATTAATGTATGCACAAGAACATATTAACTTGGTTAAAAGGCGCAAGTTGAGCAAAGCTGTTCTTTCACAAGAACCTTGTAAAAAAATATATGGGAAAAAATATATAATGAAAAAATATAATATATACCTAAGTATATAAAAGTATTAGGTTATTATACCCAGATATACCAAAAAATATCAAATTAAACTTACTTATTTTATTTTATCTTATCTGAAGGAAAACAAATTATTTCAACTTATTACATTGTTCTTTGAAAAGTTTTTAAAAAACATTTTTTTTTGAAGAGAGACATTGCCATAGCTTTAAAATTAAAAACCATAAAATTAATTTATTTGCCGCCTGTGTGACTAAAAAGTTGTACCGGGTGATAATGAGACTAGGGCCATGTTAATATCTATTTTATTTATGAAGAAATTTGGATTAAATTTGTATCAAATATACTAGACATTATTTCAAATTGACACATACTTAAACAAAATGGCCGACTTCCGGTTTTACCGGATATGCCATCGAGTTTGATTTATGAGAGCAGGGTAAAAATATAGCTTTCGTTTCATTCAAGACGATTATTAGTAAAAATAAAACTTAATAAGCATGAAGAAAATCTTCATTTCTCATTTTAGCAAACTGATTAAATGCATAAATATGGTTCAACAAGCAGAATAACATATAATTTTTTTAATTTTGATATACTCGTCTTTATAATCACAAACTACTAGCATACCATATGATTTGAAATGCAAGCAAAATGTTTTCACGGAATTTCAAGTGGAAATCTGCATATACCTCTAATTGAAGCGGAGTGAATATGATATTAGACATGAGGGACGCAATCCATAATATCTGGATCATCTATGTGAAACGTTGGTTAGAAATTACAATTGTAAATATTATTTAAGATAAGATTACAAACCTTGCAAATTGCAGTTGTGTTATTATTATGTTATATTGTAGTTGATGTATCAGCGTCTCCACAATGTTGAATTGCTTTGAAAACTTAATTGACTTCCCTATAATAACAAATTCTTGGATAAGTTTTAAATAAGAACAGTGGCGGCTCGTAGTAATTTAAAATGGGTGTTCACTTTTTCCAATGATTTTACCATTTGTACGTTCGGTTCAAAACTTTGTACAAGAGCCAATATCGCTGTTTTTTTATTGTTTGAGTTTGTATTAAGTGTAGTTATTATTATCAACATCATACTGTTTTCAAGCACTAAAACTATTAATAAATGAATATTTTAGTTAGTGTAATATTTTATTTGTTTTGTTTTTAATACGTTAAAAAATAATTTTTACAATTTGTCACAGACGTCAAATAAAATATATATTTTTTAAATACTTTTTTTATTAGCAAATAAAATAACTAATATGTTTCAAATGTTTATTTTATAAGATCAGTCCCATCACAATACCTAATATTACACAGATACAAACTAGAATTAAGATATATAATGCCTGGCATTCTAAATGATACTCTTTGCAGTTTAACAGACCCCCTAAACCCCCATTTTCAACCAAATTGTTTTCACAATCAATATGCCTTATCTCCTTAAAAAGCTTGATTTTTACTAAAAATTTCATGTTGATCGCTTTTCATTTTTGATTTTTTTTTAATTTCAACCCCCCTTAAATCCCCCATATTTAATCAAATTTTTTGTATAATTAAAGGGCTTTTTCTCCTTTTAGAGCTTGATGTTTGCTAAAAATTTTCAAGTTGACTTATCGTGCAGACAAAAAACGTGACATCGGACAGACGGACAAAGTAAAGCTATAATACTCTTCACAGAATACTGTATGAAGAGTAGAAAAAAAATATATAAGGTAAAATAAACATTTTAAAAAGGATACTAAAAGTTTGAAATAGCAACACATAATTGAACGTTTACAGAAATCTGTGAACTAAAATAGTGAGATACACATCGTAAAATGTTATCACACTTAATTCTCCATATGACCCTTTCTAAGTATATTTCACAGCACATTCCAAAGTATTCTTGCTCTCACTAATGTCCTACGCTCATGGCTGACTTTTGCATGACCAATTTTACTAACAAATAATGTGTTTAAATAAATAATAGAATAATAGTAATTTTGTCTAAATAGGTAAATCGGCCTTATGTGTATTTTCAAATTATTGTTTAATTGTAGATGGTATATTAATGGTTTAATATGTACTTATAGGATTGATGACCCAGAGCATGTAGATATGTGGGATATGACTTGTTAAGTGCCTAATCGAAATTTGTTTGATACTTATTGCTCTTTTGAAGTAGTCTTAAAATGGTCTTAGACACTGACACAAAATATAAAACAAATTAGATTCGTAAAACTTTATTATAGTTAAATAAAACAACAACTTTAAAAATACTTGTATTTACCTTGCCTTAAAGAAGTTTTTCGGAAACAATCGTTTGACACACATACTTTCAATTTATTAATGTCACAGTTCTTAATTAAACACATTTTTTTAAATGAGAACAAATAAAATAATCTTAGTTTTATTCATGATAAAAGACAATTATTGTCATTCACCGTGGTTTTATTTAAAGAGTTTCATTTTCATAGTAGATGAATGACAGTATGACAGAAGACCGAATGACAGTTTGTTTGATTTGGTACAGTGTTACCAGAATATGTTTTTGTTATGTACTAGATTTGTCTAAAAAAAATGTACCAGATTCCTTAAATGTACCAGATTTTTCTAATTATATTTGCAGTGACATCTAAATTCATTGAAGAGGAAAAAAGGGGGTCTTTATTGATAACGAACCCAAACAAGGAACACGATATATATATTTTATACGTGAACACTGATGCACGCAGAATGCCCTACATCTAGTATACATGTGAATTGTACTAGACTGTCAACACTGGTTTTGGCAACCTTGTTTGTGAGCGGCGCGCCAATTAATGTGTTCTTTGACAGTTTGAAGGATCTGTTGGCGTGTTGTCTTCTCTTTTTAACTAAATGTATTCGCCAAATCGTCTCACTCGTGTTAGGCTTACTCATCATAATACGTCACAGACACGGTATATTGTGCCACAGAGACGCGATCGGCCAAAGAGCAATGATATAGATTAATACATATGAAAATAAAAATATTAAAATTAAATTTATATTTTTATGTTATTTATGTAATTTTAAAATAATGTGTTTTTATGAAATTGAACTGGGTGTTTACTGCACAAATGAACCAATGTAGAAACCGCCCCTGAATAAGAAGATGAATATATAACGGCTAATAAATGACTCAATGAAGTAAAAAATGGGCAGTAAATTCAGGATGACATCCCTGAATTATCAGGAGTTAAAACAAACGCAAGAAAAAGTTAAAATTATTTTTGGATGGTGTAAGTTTATTTTAAAACGTTTTTAATAGCATAGCAATATTAAGACATACGAGTATTTAGTCCAGTCCTCATATTTTGTTTCCAATAACCTGCCCTTACTTTATATCCCAATAGTTATGACCGACCTTGTATATCAGCAATTTAAATATAATAATTTTGTTTAATTTCAAATTACCAACGACAAATTTAGTATTCTTTATAAATAAATAAACTGGATTTAAAATTAAATAAGTAGATTTTCATCTTTTAATAGAAAACGTTTTCCAAATTAAATATATTTTATTGACAAACCCATTAACACTTGAATCTTGAAAAACTGAATACACTTTCTTGGATAACTCTCATTTAGTTCTGCTACTTTCAAATTCTTGTTAATTATACTGAGGACTTCCTTTACTCTCAATAAAGTACTCTCAAAATGGCGGATGTTAAAACTTATTCTACCAAGACATTCTTAGCCCAATTAGTAACGAATGTGGTTGATTCTGTTGCAATATTGTCTAGGAATAAATTAATATGGTGTATATACCGGGCAGTTCTAAAAGGGTTGATCACATTTTAATTGTTTGTTCGGCTTTGCAACTTGTGACTATAAGTTCAGCTCTTTATGAAGATCTGTCACAGATATTAAGGCATTGTTATGGTCCTAAGTTTATTATGTTCATAGATTCTTTTTCATCAAATAAAATTAAAAACCAAATTTCTAATCATTTATTTATCCATTTTTTAAGTTGATTTTCGGAATATAAAGTACTTTCAGCTATTGCCAATTAATTTCAGAACCCACAAAATCATTTATTTTTTAAACTAAAAGGAATGGCCAGGGACGATGTTTTTACATGCGTTACGTTCGCTCCAATTTTCACGTAAATCCAGCCTTAATCCACAAAAAAAAACATTTCAACACTTTTAAAATATAAGGAAGTAACTTTCTTCGCTCTTGGTTATTTGTTAATTTACTTATTTTATGTCCAATTCCTTTTTCCATTAAATTTTTTTAATGAGCATTTATCTTTATTTATTATCCTGTTTGTTCAAAAGATTTTATTACCTACATACAGTACGAAAGCATTTATTATTAACAATTTGTAACTTTTTTAATGATTTATTTGTTTCTCTTCCTATTTCGGTGCTTTGTAGTAGGAAATATTTCATCGAACAGGTATTCATTAAGCTTGATATATTCATTTATCCTTTATAGATTTATATTTTATGAATACAAAAAACCTTTTCAAAGAATTCGATCCAATTCGACGAGTATACAAAAACTACACAAGGTATTAACTTAAAAACACTGTTTTATCATATTTTGCTAATTTTCATAACCATCTGAGATATCGAATTATATTTTGTTATGAAATGTGAAATGGTAAGTTTTAATTTTAATGTAATATAATTTAATTTAAGATAGTCATTATGTCATATGCCTCAAACTGGGCTAGATAAAATTGTAATGTAATTATAATAGGTTGATAAAGTTTTCATCAAATGTATTCGACACTTAGGTACCTCTATCTCTCGTATATTGTCAATTTTTGATAGCAAAAATAATAAATATAAAAGAGTACCTCCCCACCAAAGATTTGAAATACCTACATTTTGCACTAGTAAAAAGCCATCTCAGATACGGAATTAGAGTATGGGGGCAGCCTCACGTGTATACATAAATCAATTTGAAGTACTTCAAAAACGATTTCTAAATATAATTATGTCAAAGCCCTCAAGATGATTAATGATTTATTGTATGGTTATATTAAAATTTGTGTATATTATCTTGTTAATAAGTTATGTTTTTTGAATAATGTCCACGTGTTTTATTTTAATTATATTGCTGCTAAAATCTATGTTATATTATGTTATATTAGATTTTTTTTTAAATGGAATGTTTATGAGATACATTAAAACTATTTTTAACTGGCCAAGCTTCAACCAGACAAAAATTCTATAACTAAACTATAACCGATGTCTGATTTGTATAGAATAAATTAATTTTGTGTAGCAGAGTTCACGCCAACACAGCCTGGTTCTCATTTTTACAAATTAAAACTTTCCATTTTATCTCAGTAGGAAGACATATTAATTTAACAAAGACCATTTTGAATAAAACGCTAATTAAATTATAAGTTTCAAAAGTAATTTTTTCTCAAGTTTGAAATGCAGGGTTAAATTTAATTAGCGCATATTAGATGAATTCTGGTTCGGGTACGAATTTTAAAGAATTAAAATATTTTCGGTTTTAGAGATGAGAAAGTTAGTTATTTACCCCCTTAGCCACGCACATGGAGGTCAGTAATCAATTGGTTAACTGTTGATCGTGGTTTCTGTCGACGGAGAGGTTTCTAATGACCGTATAGGGCTCACTGCATCTACTACTAATAATGAATAACCAGATCCAGAACTAAAAGGTCAATCGTTATGACACGTTGATAGAAGCAGTCTCCTAGGAATTAGCACTTTAATAGCTAAACTCTACTTGAGTATCAAATTATATAATCGATTTTAATAGAATTATGTTTGATTTGAATTTTCACTTATGTTAGATTTGTGTATTTTATTGAAAGTTTAGTTTAGTATCCCTGAAAATAAGGCATTATTTAATAATTAAGGTTACTTATACCTAAAAGCCTTATAAATATTTTTTTACAGTCATCCGCTTCTCTATCATACCACTTGTTCAATATTTTTTTTACTTCTACAAGATATTTATAATACTTTTAATGTGGTACTAGATACATCAGCTGAACTCTTTCATGAAATCAGTAAAAAAGATGTCTGTATGTAGGTTGAGTTAAATGTTTTATTAAAGAACACTTTAGCGCTTAACGAATTATTTTAAATGTTGCAAATTTGGTCATCACAAAATAGACTGTCACAGTGAAATTACAAGTCCCAAATGCTCACGAAAAAAATGCTTTTACATCTGAATCTTTGTGTTGTAAATTCTAGGTTTAAGTTAAACTTAGCACTAATTATTCCACAAACAGCCCTAACTGTAGTTACTTATTGAACAGAATAGATAATCTTAAATCTAGGACTGATTATGGCTAGTTTTGTAAATAAGAAGTTAAATTATTTATTGTTTCGGCCTTTACTTGATGAAAATCCATTTAATTTTGAAAGAGTAAAACCAAATTTGGTAGATTTTCACACTTATATTTTAAAAATAAAAATTTTTAAACAAACACTAACATGACATATGTTTCGAAGTACAACTTCTTTTTCAAATGTGACTATTTACAATTCGGTATCCAATATATATACAAAATAATTTAACAAAACAAAGTACTTAAGAAAACATCAATAACATTACAAAATAAACTAACTATTTAAAGTAAATAAGGGTACTTAGGTAATTATAATATCCATCAAATAACAATAAGATAGCCCATTACCGGGATTATCTCACAGAAAACTGGGAAAGAGGTTTAATAAGGGTGAATTATTAATATCTAATTGATCATTTAGTAAGTTATCTGAATTTTTAAATCTATTTATTTCAAGTGTTTCTAAATGGTTTAATTTAAGGCTCTTATTTTCTACATGTAAAATTTCAAAGTTGTCTGTAAAAGAATGATTTTTAGCTGAAAATCATTCTTTTACAGACAACTTTGAAATTTTACATGTAGAAAATAAGAGCCTTAAATTAAACCATTTAGAAACACTTGAAATAAATAGATTTAAAAATTCAGATAACTTACTAAATGATCAATTAGATATTAATAATTCACCCTTATTAAACCTCTTTCCCAGTTTTCTGTGAGATAATCCCGGTAATGGGCTATCTTATTGTTATTTGATGGATATTATAATTACCTAAGTACCCTTATTTACTTTAAATAGTTAGTTTATTTTGTAATGTTATTGATGTTTTCTTAAGTACTTTGTTTTGTTAAATTATTTTGTATATATATTGGATACCGAATTGTAAATAGTCACATTTGAAAAAGAAGTTGTACTTCGAAACATATGTCATGTTAGTGTTTGTTTAAAAAAATTTTTATTTTTAAAATATAAGTGTGAAAATCTACCAAATTTGGTTTTACTCTTTCAAAAATAAGAAGTTAAAGTTAGTACATTTTAATACGCGTTCTTTATTCCCTAAGTTTGATATA